GAAACTCAATGCCGGTGCTGTCCTCTAGCAGAAACTGCATCAACCTGCACGTGGCGCCATCGAGTGGAGTCAATGAGAACATTTTCCTTCGTCCTCCGACGATAATTTATCACGATTCTTAATATAATGCTATTAACATAAAAATAATCATTAATTACTTAGAATTGTTCAGAATCTGCTAATTAATCAAAACTACTAAGTAAATTAAAACTGAGTTTATAAGGTGTAGTGTCTTGTAAGGTAGGAATGGATTTACTACCAGAGTTGTAAGTTTCTCTTGGTATGTGTTCACGATGACTAAAGATCGAGTTTCTAAGCAGTACGTTTACCTTGGAACAACTCCCTGCAGTATCACATTGCTCTTCTGTTTATTACTACCAATAACAGAATTCTTCAGTTCCCTGCAAAGATAAATAAATACGTTAAGGATTAATTGTTACTTATCTTCACCATAACCTGATTGCTTGCATATCAGTAAATGCAAGCAATGATTCTGTTGAACAGAACTAAAATTCTGTACCTCCGTCAGTGAAAAAAATACACGGGGGCTCAGGGCGATTTAGCCCCCTAAATGCCAAAAAAGCCCCCGTAAATTTGCAAAGATTTCAATGCAAACCAAATTTTAGAGTGCTATTATCATGCACGCGAGCTTAAAAAGTAGCCCCCAAAAAATACATTTTAATTTTTTCCCTGACCAATCTGGGGAATGGGAGTAACATTTTAATCTGTGACCGCATTGCAATTTTCGGCGCAACCCACTCCACACGCGTGTAGCCGTAACCATGACGACGTACAACTCCCTCAGGAGTTAAAACGTTATCTGTTACTGCTTACGATATAATTACGTTTAGGATCTAGCGATACAATCTACATCAAACTCCTGTCCTCAACATACAGACTGTCCTGCGGAATATGAAACGTTACTATTACGAGATTACGAGATTCTCTCTCTTCCACTTTAGTAAATTGCAAATTTGAAGCCTTTTCTACTGCGATCCGCAACGTTGACCTGTCTATTCGATCAACTTTGCATCTTCGATATAGTTTCTTGGACTTTGAAAACTAATCTTTATGAGGTTAGATCGAGTAGCTAGTTTCGCTCATAGGGTCTATGTCCCCCAGGGTACTGCCGGAACGTACCCTGGTAACTATCTAGCTGATATGGTTAGGGTTAGGGTTAGTGTTAGAGTTAGGGTTAGGGTTAGGGAGTAGGCGTAGGCGACTCTCTAGACTCGTTAGTGGAGTAGGCGAGGTACGGTCCGGCATATTAGATAGTAGTATTTAGTATCAGGGTACGTTACGGTATACCAGACCGTACCCAGGGTACGTTCCGGCAGTACCCTGAGGGACATAGACCCTCTCAGCGCTAGTTTCTCTATCGACGGACGGATGACGGAGAGATTTGCGAGATGAACACTCACACAAGAGCCTCGTAGCAGAGTGCCTGGTCCTGAGAAAACAACTTGTCCATATACGGACGATTTCCGTCGTGTTCCTACACAATAACAACAATAATAACATCAACAACAACAATAAATTAATATCAACAACAACAAT